GTCCAGAGGACCTATACAATTTTTTTTCCTTTGATTTTTTACCTGGATTACTGAGATGCATCAGGACAATATTAAAGAACTGTTCTTGTTAATTTGATGAAAACGTTTTAAATTTCCAGTGCACTCACGTCAGAATAACTTATAAATTTGTTGTTAGAATAATCGATTAATCGAAAAAATAATAGTTAGATTAATCGATTAGAAAATAATCGTTTGGTACAGCACTATTTCACTTTAAAGAAATTTGTTAAACAACTGATGTTACAAAGAGTACAAATATAAAGAGTTGAATGTTGTCTTGATATTTGTTAATTTTATATATTGTGAACTAAATATGTTAAATTAAAAAGATTAAGTTTATTATTAAAAATCAACACACAGAAAGTACTGAAAATTGGTACCGTTGAGTACTAGTACCGATTTCCAGGTACCAGATATTGACTCCGCTGCTCCCCTAGGCTGTTTTAACAGCTATGATGCACGGATACATCATCCGATCTGCATTAAATTTTGTGTGCGTCATCAGGAAGCACTGCTCAACACATTAGTTTGGAAGTTTTATGACATCATTATAGCCCCGCCCGCTCAGAGCAGAAACTTAACCATTCAATAGTTGGCTGATCCAGCTTTTCCACATCCTCTTGTCGCAGCACAGCTGGAGCAGTGCGAGGACCTCCCAACACTACTTGCAGCATTAATTATTTTTTGTTTTTCTGTCTCTTGAGGGTGAGGCTCCAGAACAGATCAGATGTAGTTCTCAGTATCAGGGCGGAGGTGGTGGAGCAGCATCTCCAGGTTCTTGACCTGAAGGTAGATTTGGTTCCTAAATGACAGAAGAACAAGCTCATTTTAAATCAATGATTTTTTTTCACGTTTCTTTTATTTTCCAGGGGTYTCCCCTCACCTGTCTGTGGTTTGGACCAGTCTACTTTGGAACTTCCTGCGTGAAGAAGGTGGTCTTGAGGAACTCTGGACCCCGGGTGTGTGACTGGGTCTGTCTGCTGCAGGAGACTGCTGCAGGGACTGAGAGGGTGAGCGCTTTGAACTTGTAAAGGTGGGGGTCCTGCAGAACCAGACTTAAAATGTTCTGATCTGACTGCAGGGGACAGACCTCCAGAGGAGCACAGACGCCGCCCTGGTGGAAGGAATGAAGAAGTGCAGCTCAGCTGAGCAGGACCTTGCTCAGGTTCTGGTGTGTGTGCCTTCACATGGTCGACTGGGTCCATATGATAGAACCACGCTGACGGTCTGCTTCAGTCCCGTCTGGAACAGGTACCCTGTGTCTGAGACTCTGAAACTGCTGCTGGGCAACCACRTCTTTATATAAGCAGCTCATTTGTAAATAAATTAAATTATGCAAGTCTACATAAAATACATGTTCCATTTATCWTTTATTTCAGATGTTTTGAAAGATTAATAAAACTTGAGGTTAGAGGAGTTGAAACTCACAAAAAAGAAAAGGTATTACTCCCCGTCGGGGAATCGAACCCCGGTCTCCCGCGTGACAGGCGGGGATACTTACCACTATACTAACGAGGAGATGGTAATTGTCCCTTGAGTGCTGGTATTTGATGCATTCTATGTGTGTGTGACAGGAAGTTGTACGAGGATTCATGCAGGCGGCAGGATTATTGTCTCTTCCTCCTGTTTGACATCGTGGACTGCAGACATGGCTTCACCCACCAGAATGGTACTGTTTTACAACTGGGTCAGCTTACAGTTCTTGTTGCTCCATGGTAACTGTGCATGCTGAGTGTAGAAACAAAGCATATTTGTGTAATATGTGTTTAGTCCATCATTCCCTTGTTGTAACAGCATTTCTGCAGTTTATTTCTCCTTAAGTGGTGGTCACGACTTATATCCTTTTTTTCTCTTTTTACAAAGACACAAAGACATATGGTTTTATGTCTTTTTACAAAGACATAAAACCATATAAACTATAATAATAGATTGCTTAACATATGACATCTTATTCAAAAAATGACTCCACTGAATCAGCCAACAATATTTATAAATTTATTATGTTAAATAATCAAAAACGTCAAAATTGTTTCTCCCCGTCGGGGAATCGAACCCCGGTCTCCCGCGTGACAGGCGGGGATACTYACCACTATACTAACGAGGAGCTGGTTAAAGTACTACTGCCCACTACTGGTTAAAAGTACAGCTTTCCATGATGATAAATGGGGGAAGGAGATTCTCATTCGATTAAATTAATTGGGTTTGGGCACCAAAAACCAAAAATGTGGTACTTGATCTGAGGGCAGATGGAGGATTAGGGGCAATAACTGTTTTTCCTACAATATATAATTTTATTTCATCACTTCTTTTCTGTCTTTAGCTACCAGCAGCATGGAGATGGCAGTAACTGGCTCCGGAGTCCCCGTCTCTGTGGTGCCTGAACCCTCTCACAGATTCGACTTCCTGAGCTGCGCGCTCGGACAAAGTCTAGATCACCTTTGTGTGCTCCGAAATCTCTGCCCTCAACTCTCTGTGAGCTTCCGCTTCAGCAAAGTGGCTTATTTTACAGCTGAACCTTCAGCAGGCACTATAGGTCCTGGGCAGTGCCAGGTGAGACCAGCAGCAACCTCAGGTAGTTTCTGTTTGTTTAAATAATGTCCTACATGAACTTCTCTGTGTGTTGGTCAGGATGTAATTCTGACCTTCAGTGCTCGCCAACCAGGGAGTGTTCGTGTCCGTCAGAGGGTGGAAGTCTTGGGTAGTGTTCTGTGTCAGAAAGATGCTACAGAACTGCAGGTTTCCTGCTTCCACACAATCACTCTACACTTATCTGCCACCTGCCACAGTGTGACAACACTCCATCTGTCTGGTGAGTTGGAAACATGAAAGTACCTTAGAAGCTCAGTAGCGCTTTGTAGAAATGTAACAAAACACATAATTCAAATACACAATTCTTTGTTCTTTTTAGCATGGTTCTTAAATGGATCTCTGACTAATTGAAATGTTAGACCTAATAACTAGAATAGTTCCTGGAGAACCTATTGCCACGTGACTTACCACGTGCTCTCCAATTTAAATAAATATTTTAATTTACTGTTTGTTGGAGATCATTGTGATATACTACCAAATTTGAGCCAAATATGTCTAAAAATGTCTGCGTTATGGTCAATCTTATAACAGGTGAAATGTGACTAGGAGGGCCAGAAACTGCTCAAGTTAGACAAAAAGTACAAAAAACAGGCTTAAACCAAATAAAAGGGGCCTAGGAGGGCCAAAAACCCCTAAAAACTGCCAAAACTCCACAAAAAAACAAAAACAAAAACAAAAAAAAAACAGGCAAAAATGAGTCTAGGAGGGCCGAAAACCCTTCAGTACCAATAAAAACCAACAAAAAACAGGTAAAATAGGTTTCGGAGGGCCAAAAACCCATGACAACCTCTGAAAAATCAGGTAAAGTGTGCCTAGAAGGGCTGAAAACCCCTCAAAACCAACAAAAACCAAGTGAAAGGAGCGTTGGAGGACGGAAAACCCCTGTAAAAACAACAAAAACCAGGTGAAAGGGGCCTTGGAGGGCTTAAAACTTCTCAAAACAACCAAAAACAAGTGAAAGGGGCCTTGGAGGGCTGCATCAACTAGTTGTCACCAGACACAGGTAGAAATCTGTATGAGTCACAGTGTATAAGACATCCAGAAGTTAAATAAGTGACTTCCTGTTTTAAGGGGCCAGGGCTAAGTTGATGTCACAAAATGACCATGTGAAAATGATGGGTGCTGGTCTGGTATGACACACAGAAATGATTATTCAGCTGTGACCTTGTACTGTATGTGGAAGTTATTCAACCTTGATGTTTTATGTCAAATAATTCATTTTCTGAGGCTTGGCCATGCCCACATCTTTTGTCGCAGCAAAAATCTTTGATATCATTTGATCTCCAATGCCTCAAGACTGTACTGAGTGAATCTGGAATCTGTAAAAGATGTAGGTCTGTTCGCTCAGATACCTGTACAAAACAAGACAAAATGGCAGCTTTGATTCAAGATGGTCTACGTCCTGTRGTGTTTGGACCATGGCTCTAAGAGACTTTTTTGTAGGTCCTGATACATTACGTGTACCCAAACCAAACACTAGTTGAGTGACAGCCCTTTGAAACTAGCTTTGGAGGCCATCTTAGATTTTTTTTTCTGGCTACAATTTGTGATAGAGCTCACTCACAGCTATTAGTATAGCACGTTTTAGCTAATTATGTAGAAAATTGGCTGAATTAGAGCTTTTTAAAAAAATAGCATTAGCTGTTAGCTTAAATTTGCGATAAGCATTCAGAACAGAATTTCTTGAGTTAGCTCTCAGCTAACAACCCACAGCTTAGTATGTTTTAAAACTGCTGAGAAATCTGGGTGCCATGTTGGGTTACAGGAAACCTCTTCTTTGTTGTGTCACTCAAGAGGCTACTCTCCTAGTAACAGCCTCAGCCAATCAGAAGGCCCGATTGTGGTGTCAGAGGGAGGAGCAGACAAGATCTGCAACACGACTCTTACTACATGAGAAAAACTCTAAAAAGTTTAGTTCAGACAAGCAGCCGCCGTGTGAAACTATAAAGTCTATTCATGTAAATTTTCAAATGTGTACACGCTTTATCTCAGAGGCATAATGAGTCGAAAATAGTTGTTTTGCTTCTGAACCAGTGTGAAATAATGTTTATATAAATATAGGGAGGGAAGTGGTACTTCCCTGACTTCTAACACACTTAGAGAGAAAACTGTTTGTCATACAGCAAAACCAGAAATATTGGCTGAAAGAAGACAAAAATACCCACGTTTTGATATATAATTTGTGTTTTGTGAAAATTGTGTCTGTAGGATAAATTTTTTGCTAAGAAATTTTTCTAATCCAGACAGCTCTCACTCTAGATCATGGGACTTAGAGTGCGGCAGATAAAGTCAGTTGGAAGCTCAGCTCAGTGTGTTCCTATGAGGATTTCTGATTGTAGTTTTTTGCGATTTATGTTGCCATGATAACTTGAAACGCCACTAAAAGTAGTAGCACACCTCCCACCGCCGAGCCAGTCATTTTGATGTAACATTTGTTGTGGTGCATGTTCGGGCCGCATTTACATATTTTCTTCAACTATACAAAGCAGACTGTAAAATACTGTTGAGTTTTTATACATGAAAAAATATATTCTCATACAAAAGTCTTTATGGTATTCACACTGCAAAGCATTCTGGGTAAATGACGTAAACAGGTTTCTCCAGTGTGAGAACTCCATCCAGCTTGACCTTAGGTTAATTTTGTACAATGTGTGACGTTTTAAATGAACCCAGAGCTTGTTGACAGAGAGGGTCAACGAGCTGAAACTGAAAATGATGGAGACAACAGAGCTGCTGCATGGAAGGAGAACCTCAGCTTTAACCTGTTAGCTTTCATGTTATTGCTATATGGTGTTAGTTCCTGAAGTAATTTACTAAACACCATGTTTAATCATTTCAGTATATAAATTGTGCAGAAAAAGCTTTTTAGTCTCAACTGTAACCATCGTCATCCTCAGAATGAGTTGCATCAGTAAAAAAAAGAGCAAAGAAACAACATAAAAATGTCAAAATGTGACAGTAGCCAGGGATCACTTCAGTATAAACCTTTTATCACTGAAGGGCAAGCTGGATCACAGCGCAGTAAACTGTCACGCTGCTTGGGACCGACCCGCGCTGCTCTGCTCAGTTCTGCCAAAACCCAATTCCACAAACATCACAGAGACCGAAGAGGGAGCGTGAAGGGAAAGGAGCTCCTGGCCTTTCCTGATGACCGGGCCTGCAGCATCAGACCAGCATCTTCAGAGAAACGGTACAGGTGGAACTAGAGACAGAAGTTTAAATCTGCTTTTTAACAAAGGCTTTTATCCTTCGATGCCATTTGTTAAAGTATAAGCTCCTTACAGAAGAATAGAAATCAAGCTTGGATAATATTCAGAGCAACACTCAGTAAAAAATTTCTTGTATAGTATAACTAGGGCTGCAACGATACAGAAATATCAGGATTCGGTTTGGTTCAATACTTTAGTCTCATGGTTTGATATTTATTGATATAAAAAAGAGAAATGTCCATGCCCTTCTTGACATGTAATTTATTGAAATTAATTATGAACATTTGTTTAACTTCAAAAGTACAGTTTTTAAATTAAATGTTGCTGAAACAGCAAGTTTCTCAGTGGATCTGCGCTCGACATTGCAGCCTAGGTGGAGCAGTCGAATGCAGATCCACTGATCCTTCAACACAGAGAATCTTCAGACGACAAGTTGATAAAATAAATTTTAAATATCTGTATTGTTCGATACGTAGTGTGTATTGAACCTAAAGCACTGTGTTGAATGTTTCGATACAGATACATGTATTGTTGCACCCCTAAATATAACCTTTTTGTTTCATTTCAGTCTAGTTTTGACAACATCTAAATGTTGTTTTGAGCTGAACTGCAGTTGGGAATAGTTCCAGGACTGAGGTGGATTCATTTTTTTTTTCAGACTCAATCGCCAATCTGCTAATTAAAAAAACAGCTTTGCAAATGCTAATCCACTAAACAAAGAAAATTAGTGGAAGCTAATGCTAACTGATAACCATTACCTCTCCTCTGATATTTGTTTTCAAAGTTAGCAAAAATCTAATCTGCTAAACAGGAAAAACAGTGGAAAAAAACTAAAACTGATAACCAGTAATCCATCTGCTAACGGTCTTCAAAGTTAGCAATAAGGCTTATCTGCTAAAGAGTTAGGAAAATTAGTGAAAGCTAATGGTAACTTATAACTGATAACTCATCTGTTAGCAAAAGTCCTTCTTTCTATGATTTTAAGTTTTCAGAAATGTTGAATGTAGACATGATACTAGTTGTTCTTTTTATACCTAAAAGTAATGAATAACGGATATCAGTTGACAATTCTATATAAGAAACTTGCTTGCCGTATTTCCCTCTAGTGGGTGCTTTTCACAGTAAGGGTACTTTATTCTGTTAACTGCTGCAACAGGTAGCATTAGCCCTGCTGGGTCTGTGGGTTTCTATTTTTCTGTTTTGATGCACTCTTACTTTCCCTGAGAAGACTGATGACTCACGCTGGAATTAAACTAAATACAAATAGTGAAAGTAACTAAAGCATCAAACAGCAGTGATTGAATGAAGCTCATGCAGAGATTCTCTTAGGCTCTTGTGTATTTTCCTCATGTTCAGAACCATCTTTACTGGCATTCCCCGCTATCGCTACGTAGACGAGGACTATGCTTTCACAGAGGAAGAGGAAGAGCAGAGGCGCCGTCATCGCCAGGTCTACATGGATTTCATCAAACAGCTCAGACAAAGCCGACTTCAGAGGATCGAGAASAGGTTTTAGATCACATAGGATTGAACTCTCACTGGTTTAAATCAAGTGTTTCAGCTTTGACTTACTGAGTTGTTTTGATTTGTTTTAGACAACAAGACAAGACAGAAGACGACGTGGACATTGGACTTGTTCCACACGAAGGCCTAGTTCCACCCACAGTCCACATCAGAGACCTGGAGCTCAGTGAGAACTCAGCTTCTCTCACCCAAAGAAGCATCAGCCAGGTGAGACCCAAGGTGGTCCAAAGAAACCAGACTTGGTTTGTTGCCAAAGTGTTTTTACTGAATATGTTCCTTGTCAGGTTTTAGATGAGGTGAAAACAGTTCCCTCCAGCAGCCAGGAGGTGGCAGACTGCACCAGGACTCTGACTGCTCCGGAGCTCTACCAAGTCATCATAAGTAGGATTTAAGTTTGAAAACCCTTTGGTTAAGAGACACCAATATGTCTCAAATGTAAATACGTAATGACCACATAAAAGGCTTTTTATTGTCTTTGTCTTTTGTAACAGTTCTAGTGAAAATATRCCTGTAAGAATTATTTTTAGATTTGGTTTAATTTCTGGAGATCTTTTGAAGATCCCTAACCTGGTATTCTGTGACACACAATGGGGTCCTGACCACTGATATTCAGTATATCACCGGACTGGACATTGATAGTTGATTACAAGCTACACTGATGTGCACACGCAGTATTAGTAGCAGGGTTCCCACGGGTCCTTGAAATCCTTGAAAGTTTGTGAATTTGACAAAAGTGATTTTAAAGCCCTGGAAAGTTTGTAAAAACAGCCAAAAATTACACTTATCCTTGAAAGTCCTTGAATATTTTTTGGAGATTGAAGTTCTCTTTTAAACAACTGATTTTCATTCTAAAATAAATAAATAAATTTGTTGCAGTGGATAACTCAGGATTACGGTAAACTGATGTGACTTTTAACAGCTAACATGAGCCATAGTCAGTCAGAGCAGAGTAGGGCGGGTCATTCTTTCTGAGCCCAGGTGAGAGCACCAGAGCTACTCCTGTCCTCACCGAGTGTCTGGACATGTTCACATCACCTCCTCCTAAACTGAGCTGCCAAACCTCCCAGGACATAATTACATGTCCATGTATTGTGGTTATGAACGTAGGGTACACATTTAAACCACTTTCTTTCATTGATTCTGACTCAACTATTTCAATTCAATTCAATTCAGTTCAATTCAATTCAATTCAAAAATACTTTATTGATCCCAGAGGGAAATTAGGTAATTAGGTATTAGAAGTAATTAGGAATTAGTAATAATTAGTAATTAGGTATTAGATATATTTCTATGTTGTGCAGTTTTTCATTGAATTTACATGATATTAAACCTGTTTATTGGTAACATTCTGGGGTAGCAGTACAGTAGGTAATTGCCATCGCGCATAGTTCTTGAATTTGAGGAAATTGGACTGGAAAGTCCTTGAAAGGTCCTTGAATTTGATGTTGACCAAGGTGTGGGAACCCTGTAGTACTGTAGTCTAGAGGCTTAAGTATGTCAAATATGTTGTAGGAATAATTCCATTGTCTGTTTTATTTTCTCTCATTTGTTGGATTTTATGGGAGAGTTTTAAAATGGCCACCAGAATACTCATTTAACACTCTAACTAGGTTTTCAGTCTACATAGAGCCATGATCTTTGTGTCTAAACTTATGTTTTTGGGTATTAATGATCCAGTTGTGACCATCAAAATCCATTGCAGCCATCTTGGACTCCCAAAATAGTTGCAATAATACACATTTTTCCTCATTTGGTAAATGGTCACCTCTGGATCCTCACTACCTAAAATGGGTTTCGACGCCAAGATCATGGTTCTAAGGGGACTATAAATCTATCTGGATGGATAGATGAGTATTCTGGTGATTATTTACAAAATCCACACTGCAACAACTGTCCATCTAACCAAGTCTTACAATCTTATATCCATACATCATCATTCTTCTATACCTGCCTCTTCCTTTCAGTACCTATGTTTACATGCGCAAAATTCTTTGAACTGATTGAAATGTATTTGGATTGAATAATTGGAATGTATTGTTTACATGGATACAATCTGATCATGACGAGTGTTTACATGCACCAGGCTTTTATTCTGAATAGAAGCACTGACGTGCAGTTTCTAACTTTCCCTAAAAAAAACAGAAAAAGGTTATACTTTCATCATGAACATAAACAAACAACTTCTGAGCTCAGAATGGACCTGTGACAGGTTTTAAAGGCACAGTTTGTAGGATTTTGTCAAGTCTTTTAGCCGAAATTGAGATAATCACTAATGACAATAATAAAAAACATGTCTAATCATTGCAGACAAAGACCTTGTTTTATTATTTTTACCTTATAAAAAGCTGTTTATATCTCCATGGTCACGGGTCGCCATCTTGCACTGCCATCTTGTCTACGAAGGCTCATGAAGGACAAACTGCGGTGGCGGCGTCAAAAACGGTTTTAGTTGTAATACTATAAATGTAATATTTGTTGTCTGTCATTGTAGCTGGGATAATTTTACTTATTAAAGCTCATAATCTTACCACTTGAAACATCACTAGCCCTGAAGCTGCTGGTAGACATCGCTGTTGGAATTATCAAAGGTTTTTGACACCTGAGAGACACCGTAGCAACTCCTTTGTGTTTGGAAGCGGGGGTGGGGGTGGGGGGAGGACAAGGGAGGATGATTCAACAACTCAACCACTAGATGTCGCTAAAAACAACAAATCTTACACACTGTGCCTTTAACAATGGTGGGGATGTTACTGCACTCTCTGGTTAAACTGCAGATGCGCAGACTTTTTTATTATTATTTTTTTTTTGCGAAGTGCGCAGGCTGTGTGTCTTCTTTCTTTACTGAATGAGAAAACAGGAGGAAAAGTTCTGTGCTGCAGCGCTGCTGTCCCTCCGTCCACAAAAGAGCAGAAACCGCTGGATGAAAATCAGCAGACATGAACAGTCAGGTCAGATTTCCACAATCTGAATAAGATGATCAGATTACCGATAAGTGTTTACATGGACACTGTTCRGATTATCAATCGGCATAAACCACCTCTCTCCTTCCGATTACAAATTCATTCAGATCGAGCTGAATTGAGTCAGAATAATCTGAATGGGGTGTTTACATGATGCATTTTTATTCCGAATGGCCGTTTAATCCGATTACTAATGTCCATGTAAACGTAGCTAATGTCACGGGGGTCACTGGTGCCCATATCCAGCAGTCACACTGGGGACCTTTCTTAGCGTCATCAGCTCTACCAACTGAACACCGTACTTCCCATATCTTACATCCAGCCAAAAAGTATGTTTGATCTTGTTTTGAGACTAAACAAGAGCAGAATGTGTTAGACTACTAATATTGTTAGTCTGGGAATTTTTCTTTTTTCAGCAGATCTAACAAGTTAAATTGTACTTGGTAAGATTTCTTGAGGCTAACGAGATTAATAATTTAACACATTCTGCTCTTGCTCAGTATATCAAGATCAAAACTAGTTTTATATATGTATGATTGTAAGACTTGGTTAGATAAACAGGTTTTGCATTTAAAGAAAGATGTTTGTCACATATAATGGATTTTGTTAGTCACCACTGTATTTTTCAAACTTGAAGTCATGGGATTAGACACTAATATCACAGCTCTGTGTTGCACATGGCTCTATGGTTTCACAGTTTAAATCATTCATTTAGGTTAAATATAGTATTATGAAACTGTGAAACCCTTTGCTCTTGTAAACTTCATTTGTGCAGTTTATAACAATGATTTGTGCCACTTGTACATTTATTGTGTTTGTTTGCACGGAGCCATGTTCTAGTTATTGACATCAATGGCTAGCGTTAGCTCAATGCATTAAACTCACTCTTGTCTAGCACGCCCAGGTCACATGATGAACTGTCCAGTAAATGGTCCCAACCTGAACTTTGAGAACACGTACATTACAGCAGCATTTACACCTTTGAGTATTTGTTGTGTAAACTCTGGACCAGATGAACAAGCATCGATGTGAGCACAGATTTACTCTTTCCCCATCAGGTCCGTTGTTCGTGGACTTCGGCAGTGTGTGTGTGGAGACGGTGTGTGTTCGAACAGTGCGGCTCGTTAATGGTCTGCCAGCGTACGTCTGGGTGCAGCTGGAGGTGGATTCTCCTGAGCTGCAAGGCTCCTCACCGCTCTCATACGTTCTGCCTCCTCACACTCAGACCAGCTTCCCACTGACGTTTGAGAGCCACCAGCTGGGTCCCTTCTGCAGGTTAGAACAGGAAGTCCACCCTCGTCCAGTTCTAGGGCTTCACATGTCAGGATTTTATACTAACTAGTCTTYATCTGTCAAAATGAGCTCAGGACATAGAGTTAAATATCACCAGACTGAGCCCCTTCTATCCCAGCCACTGTTAGCATCTGTGACAATAAATTGGTGATCGAACAGGGCATCAGCTCAGGGTTTTTATAGCAACTATTAGATTACCAGCAAGCCCAGCTGGATCTGTTTCACATATTATCTGTAATATTTTTTATGAAAAATTAATAACTATGTTAATTTCATTCAACAATCATGTAAAAAAAGCATATATATACCAGAAAATATATAATTTATAAATGATGATCTAAACCAGGCCTGAAGTCAGACAATAACTTAGAGTTTTTTGCTAGTTGAAAAAATATTACTTCAACTAATAAAGTATTATTTCTTACTGTCATAAATAGTAATAATAAATATTTACTAGTAACACACAAAATGTTCTCTGTATACCTGGTTATAGGATGAAACTTGTCTCTGCTGGCATAACTAATTATCTTTTCATCAGGTCAGGTTTGTCTAATAAAAAACCAAAAATAGTCAAAAATAAAGTTTTATTTTACACTGCATAAATATTACATCAGAGGACAAATCTGCTTGTAATTAATAATTTGTGTTAAATTGCAGCATGATTCAGCAAAGTTATACACTCTGTATAACAATATATGCTGCGCAAGCTAATACCCGCTAACCAGTTCAATAAGTAAAATCCATCTTATAATCTTATTTTAATTTTAAACTGTTATATTATTAGCTTAAGTCCTGCTTAGATCACATCCACATCGAGGGAAATAAGAAAAAAATCTGTTTACTTGTGAAATGAGACGTCTTCCTGTTTTCTTCTGTTGGTAAATCCATAGCTCACACAGCTTTCTGACAGTTTATATACTGTACATTATCAGAGGTGGGCACAGTTAACCAACAAGTTAGCTATACTAACTGCAAATTCGCTAAGTAAAATGATTAGGTTTGCAAACTCTAAAMCACTAGACAGGTAAAAAAAATAACCTTATAACCAGTCAATGCGAAACTTGGTCCTAGCTGGCTTATTTTGAACTCAACAAGCGGAGGACAGGATAAGGAGTTGTATTTTTAACTCTATGAGACTAATACAGGTGGACTGTACACCAGAGGTCGCGTTAACGGAATATTTTCCATATTTGACCAGCTTTTTTACACAATGATGGAAAAATTTGAAGGCCGTCCGTTATTTTAACAGATTGCAATTAACACCGCTGACCTCCCAAAACCTGGTTTATACTTCGAGTTGGACATCTTTTCCCTCCTGCTGAGTAAAAAAATAAAATAGCGCATCTTCCGTCTGCTCTCCCGCTGCTATTCCCCGCCCGGTGACAGCCGTCTTGTGCATGGCCTYCAGTCAGAACTGTGCCGACGGGACGTTGCAGCTCTCAGTGTGTGATAGGTCCAGAGTTTGTGGGCGTATTTGTTCATGAGGAGCACYGCAGAGGGCCAGTGGTCCACAGTTGTGGCAGAGCTGAGGAGTTGGAGCTGGACCAGAACAGGACCCCGAGCAGCTCAATTCCTTCTGCGTGTTATTTTGTTCAAAATGATATATTTTTTTTGGCTGAAGCCAGTTTTAAAAAGAGCTCAAAGAGCAGCTGGTTTGATCCAGGTCCTAAGGATGAACATGAGCACGTAACTGGTCGCGTCTTTTTTTCCATCCACCGTTAAGAAAAAACAAACAAACAAACAAACAAACAAACAAACAAACAAACAAACAAAAAAACGGCTCTACTTCACTCAAATTAACACTGATATTGAGCGGAAAAAACACAATCCAGCCATTGTTATTGTAGTTTATATACTTTATATGAGCTGTGGGAGGGCAGAGGGAGGATTTATGATAATTTATGGCCCACTGCGTCTTCAGCCTGTTTATACTCAGTCAGGAAAAGATGCGCTGAAATTACGCAATCAACCTGCAGTCGCACATCTTATTGAAGTATCCAGGCTAGTCTGGAAGACAATAAAGAAGCCAGGTGAGGCGGAGAAAAAAAAAATCAACGAGGCTTCACAAGACGACTCTGTGGCATCATACTTAACACATTCTCATTCCTGACTCGTCAGCTTTACGCACGGAGTAGGTCTACATCACGAAAGTCTTATTTAGGGCTGCCACGATTAGTCGATTAATCGAC